GTCTTTACGATTTGTTCCCTTCCCACCCCCCTCAACCCCCTGTACCGCATTTGCCGAAGGGAGGGAAAACCTCAATCGAGGGAAAAACCTGCCCTGGTACAGTCGTCCTTTTGACGGGACTACCGCTCGGCAGTGAAACTGTGAGATTAGAGCGCTATAAATTTTGACCGCCGGTGCCGGGAAGCGAACCCGGATCATTGGCATACGAGTCTAGCACTCTAACCACACGGCCACTACCGTCGGTCCATAATATACTATTTTTTATGTGTCCAATACTGCGTCTTCGTCACTCGGAATAAAATAAAACATTCTAGTAATCGAAAATTGCAAGCTTTCCGTCGAGGTAATTTACGTAAATTACGTCGGTAAAAAACGGTGTAATTTACCAACGTAATTTACACGCCCAACCCTGTCGAGAGGTATTCCCCCCACCACTTCCCACTCCGGGCCCTTTAAATCATTTTGGAGCACGTTTCGAGGTTACAAAATTGGTTTAATGAATAAGAATCTCAGACTTAAGTTGTTTTGTTATTCAATTTGTGTTTTTTAAATGAAACTGGAGTGAATACTACTAAAAAACATAATTGAACTTATAACGGAGCATCGTCCGAGTATAATCGCACTTTAATTGTTTGGAAGTGACCCTGAGAAAATGAGGATCGAAAAAAATGCAACGATAAATGACAAATCATTTTCCCCGCTCCTATGTTTTTTTAGATCTACAGCGGTATAGTACAATCACACTGTTCAAGACTGATTGAACCCATGCGACAGCTCCAAAATAAATTCATCAAGGAGTTGAACCACCTGACCAGTATACATATACGAGATGACGTGAATCCTGAAAGGAATTATTCATTTAGAATCATCACTTTTTCATTCCGTTGATTCACGGTCACCAGGAGAAGAGGAAGCTCCAGTTAGTGGTGGTGGTGGTAGTGACCATCTCGAGGCTGTTCCAGGGTAAAATATGATCAGAAACTCATCTTGAGGAAGCAAGGCTTCAGGAAGAAATATCAGCCCCATAATTTTTTCATTTTTTTCAAAAGCTTAGTACACGACACAAAAGGTCTCTACAGCTGGATGAAAAACCATAAGTTTCAGGAATAGATGAGGAAGATTTTTCAGGACGGTGAAACCGAGTGTGAAATAATACAGTGCAAACAATGCAGTATGCACAGCGTGAAAATCATTTTCTGCCTAATTTGTTAGACTTTCAAAGATCGATGGGTCTGGTGAAACATCTCCAAAAATTGTTTCGATAGAGAATTAATTTTCTTCCGTGATCATCTCTCGTCATATTCCGGAATTCTCAATCGCTTCCATAGTTTTCGACCCCCAGCAGCCGATCCTGGCTTCGTCCAGTTCGAAATCATTCATTGAACCTGCATCTCATTTCACCCAGTTTGCTTTATTTCTTTCCAATACCTCTGCGGTGAGAATATATGAACTTCAAGAAATATAAAATTTCAATTGATCTAGAAGCATATCCCTAGTATATTCCAATCCATGTCATTGAGGCACTCTTTCATTATTCTGAAAAACAATTTTTTTATAAAATAAGCGTCCATATCGGAAGACGATCTATCTGATTTTAGGCATCGGATAAGCAACGGCACTTTCCCTCTTTGGGTTGATTGGCTAGTAATTTCCCTACTAATAAGATTCTGACACACAAAGATTGAATTCATCATTCGATTCGATATCATTATTTCTATTCTGAAGGTATGTATTGGTGATTATAACTCGGAGGAATTCTTTGGTAGGGGAGGATGGGGCAAAACGGCCCCCGTTCAATCGTCAATATTTTCCGATTCAATAATCCGATTGGGATGAGTTANGGGGAGGATGGGGCAAAACGGCCCCCCTTCAATCGTCAATATTTTCCGATTCAATAATCCGATTGGGATGAGTTAGAGCTCGTTTTGAAGAATGAAAAATTATCTTCAAAATGAAGTTGAAACTGGGAATTTTCACAATGTCATTCACAAGTTATTGACAATTGAAGGGGGGCCGTTTTGCCCCACCCTCCCCTATTTTCAGTCACAGAATTCTATTCTTTGGATTTAGATCTTTTCATAATTTTTATATGATAAAAAGTGATGGCTTTTGATTTTTCTATCACTGTAGATCTGTTGATAGTTTTTACATTTTTTAAAAGAAGGAAAGTCAGAGAAGAAAAAATACAGTGGAAAGAAACTTAGCAAATTCGTGGTCGGGAGTTTTTATAGATGAAATATCAACGGAATAGAAATATCGGTGGAATAAAAATAGCATATGTTACTTTTTTTAATACAATATTTTTCACGAATATATCTATAACATTTACTTGAACTAGTTATCGATTTTCAGGGGAAACCAATCGAAGAAAAATGGCATCTTTCTCTTCAATAGTATTTCACTAGAGTCTCGATGGAATTACCTAAAGGGCATGATTAAATTTTTTGAAGCAGCATCAGATCAACTAACTAATTAAGAAATGATTAAAAATTGTGCTACGATCTTGTAGTTGATTGGTTTCAACAAAAAGGGTTTTAATGGAAAATATTACGAGATATTTTTCCTCAATGAGAGAATTTTCAACAGGAGAACATTGAGCATTTATTCTTAATCGCTGGTACAAAGTAATTAAATTTGTAAATAATAGATCATTATAGTTGGTGGATCATTATCAGTTAAAAAAATGAACGGATGAATTTGGCGTTGGGCCACCTGTGACCACCACAGGATTCTACACATAAATTCATATGTTGAATTTTTCAAAAAGATGCATCCCTCCCACTGGCTGCAGGTGAAATTTTTGATTATTTATAATTAATTGATTTTTACCACCAAAAAGCTAAAAGTGGACTCTCTTTGCCCACCTTCGAACCACCAAGCGATTGCAATAATGCAAATTTGCATTCCCCCCTACCCCCCGCTGGCAAATTTGGATTATTGCAATCGCTTGGTAAAAATACTTATACTTAATAAAAATACTTAATAAAATACTTAATACTTAATAAAAATACGAGGTGGTTGACAGGTCTGGTCGTCGCCATGATGCTTGGATCCCCCTCCCTGGACCGCAAGGTACTTCCAAGATGGCGGCGCTCACAGCTGTCAGCCACCTCGTACTTTTAAACATAAAAAAAAAATATTTATCCTTCTCAGACCACCTTCAATTTGTTCCATAATATTTTCGAAGTACTAAGGATTTGGTGCTGATCATTTTTGAGCCTCGGAATTCACCAAATGAAGAAAATTTGAGGAGCTCAGATTTGCCCGCATTTCGGTAGTTTTTTTCACTCTCGTGCCCTCTTAAATTGAATAAGTTTCTTTTCAGTCAATTGTGTCAAATTTTCTCCTCAGTTGAATTTTATAATTATTATTATTCTTATTATTATTTTCTCTTACAGAACTTTTTATTTATTTATTTTTCGTTATTCTTTTATCACTCTCATTGTTCCTTTGTAGCATTCATTTTATAAGCTACATTTCATGTTTTTATTTTGCTTTTATATTTTCATTGAATCGTTTTCCAGCTATTACAATTGGCTTCTTCCTAATTCTTGTATAAATCAAATGAAAGAATGGTACTATTTATATCATAGCAAAATTTCAACAGAGAATATCATTGAAAAAAATCTATTTATTCATAATTGATTGAGTTTGAAACATCGCATTTGAAGAGACCATGGAAAAGCTAATTTTCGGGGAAACTGATGAAAAATTTGAAATTTCTGAAAATTATCATAAAAAAATTAAATCAACGGAGGCAGTTATCATAACCATCGTTCAACTTCCACTTAAGGGCATCAATACAAACATTTCAAGCCATGATACAATTCATTCGGAGTCAGAAATTTAAAGATATTTGCGGAATTCTAATTTTCAAAGAAAAATTTTTTTTTGACAATTTTCATAAAAATCACAGTAACGATTACTGCTATCGTCTTCATCTTCGAACTCAGCCGAAAGGGCAGATTTCAATTAATGGCAGTAGATGGGGCTCAGTAAGACCTACATTTGAGGAAAAAAAAGATTGAATTCCATTGTTGAACTGGCGAATAATTGAATAAAAAGTTTGTTACATACGTACATACATCCGTACACACGTACGGACGCGGTCTGGAAATTGCACTTTCGGACTTTTTGGATCATAATGGGTTGATATAACACAAAAAATCGAAAACTTAAATTTGGTCGATTACAACCCAGAAAACAATTTTTACCAGTGCCATCTAAAATTTAACAGGACACTGGCAATTTGTCGACAAATTGTCGGCATACTGTTTGCTGGGAATGCTTCCATTCGGAAGCAAAAAAGAGAACCTACTTGGAAGCCAATTGCTAATTTATTTGCAATAATTACAGTGGACTCTGGTTAGAAGCATATTGGTTAGTGTCGAACTTCCCCTCAATTTTTTTTTCTCGCCGCTCGAGCGCTTCCCCCACTCTGTCCCCACGCAAGCCGGAGAGTAAACACTCCAATATTTTCTTCAAATTGCTATTGTCTTCCGATTCGAGTAAAGACGAAAAATAAAATATTCTGCATTTGAATTGTCGATCAAAAAATTTAGTCCACTTCTGGCTGTCATAGGGGGAGGATCTCGTTTTGTTGGCATAAAATTAATTCGAAATTGGATTAAATAAAATAATGAAGCGAGGTAAAGAAAACGACTGTAACATTTTTAATTCACATGGTTCGTTAACTCCAGAAGAAATATCTGTTCTATGGAATGTTAGGTACAAAGCTTCTGTGATCAAATATAGTCAATGAAATTAAAAATATTGATAATAAAAAAATCGTCTGAATCTATATGAATATTGCTATTATAGTTGAAGCTGCGAACTAAAGTTTATCATTAAAATAAAGTGTTGAATTGAGAGAGAAAAGAAATAGTATTTTTCATTTTATCGTTCCCAGTTCTCGGAAGTCGGGCTCGACGTGAGCGCGTAGTGGGGGCAAGGAAATAGAGTCGAATTCTCCGAATTCGCTTCCCCTATCCCGCAAAACAGTCGACTCTAACCAGAGTCCACTGTACTGCACTCATTTATAAAAAAATGCCATTGTTCACTTGTTTTACACGAAGAAAACTTGGTAAATTACCGGTGGTATTTTACTTACCCAACCTTCATAGCATTCCAAATTTTAGGCTGCCTTTCCAACAGACGGCTTATGAGCGAGCGACTTTTGGAGGGACGAAGTGTAATATGTAAAGACAGAGAGGTAAAGATGCTCCAACGGAACAAAACCGGCCATGCCGTTCACCGCAATGGTTGCGTAGCGTACGGCAAGTGGGCTTGGTAGAGACAACCATTCTTCATTCGTTCAAAAACTAATCAGAGTAAGTATCAGAGGCACCCTCAATGACCCCCGAATGATAATAGACTTCTGCGTTTATCAATCAACTTGAATTTGAAAACTGTTTTTAAAAAAATATTTTATCCTGTTGAGGTGTGTGCAGAGACGGTGGAAACACAAAGCCTGAGCCACTCGTCTATGATCTTGCAATTCATTCCCACTCCGATACGACGAAGTCTTTATTGATTTGATGCGGGGAACTCTTATATGCTAATCCTGTTTATGTTGGGATATGTAATAATGATGTTGTTGAGCCCTTTGACGCTCGTTTGTGGAAAATTTTCTAAGTTTTGTAACGAAGGGGTGCACGAAAGAGCTAATGAGTTTCGTCGAAACGTGGCGACGGCACGTATGTTAGGTTATAAATCGTGCAATAAAAACAACTATTAGAAAAATTAATTGAATGTTTAATTATTCAGTTTGAAAATACTTCGATGCAGCAGAAAATATTACCGAGTGTGTAATTATCCGAGCCATAATCGGTTTTAGCGGGAAATTGCCAGAGACCGTTTCTATTAGGAATTTTGTGGTTGAAAAAACAACATTTGAACATTTTCTTCACGCAAAATTGAACAGAATACAAATTTTGATCATTGAAGCAGTTAGTGTTTAATCAGTCGCTAATTGGAAAATGCGTAATTAGATGATCTGCCATTTATGATAAAACATTTTTATTTTGCCTCTAATGAGGATATTGTTTCAATGTTTCAGGAAAGCCGTCGTTCGAATGGACAATCAGGTGGGTGGTGTAGAAGTGGGAGGGATTTCGATGATCGAGTCGTCAGGACTAGCAGACTTGTCTGACATCCCAGAATTGTTAGAGTCGGAATCAACGAGCCTCAGTCCACTCGCTAATTCCCTCGATCATCATTTGGCGATACAAGAGGATAAGGAATCTAGTACTGATGTAAACATGGGCATTGAAAATACCTGGTGAGCATATCTGAAATTTGACAAGTTCTCATTAATTTGATTCTCTCACCATATCAAATGAAGGATAGACTGAAAAATTTTTGATTAGGGGAGCATGGGGTAAAATGGACACTTGACTTTTTTTAAAATATTAATAACTCAGAAACAGATTTATCAATTGAGCTCAGTCTGAGTTCATCACAAAGAGGAATCATTGTTTTTTAATTGAAAAATAAAACTATTCTATTTCATGAACAATTCAACATGTCATGAATATCCTACCCTCCCCTATTTTTGAAATGATAGATAGAGTTGTCTTTTTTTACTGTTGATCAAAATTTCAGTCCACCAACGTAAGTTAGTTGTTTAGAGATGAAATAGGTGATATGCACCAAATTTGAACGTTGGAATGAGGTTATGTGGGGTCTAATGATTTGATTATCTCCATTATTCACTTGGGTACTAAAAATGTTTTCTTAGCCATGAGATTCCATACATTTGTTCGCATTGCCCTCTAGTTATATTTTTATTTTCTTGAGTTTTATTTGAGTTTCCTGGTAGGTAACCTACCTACTAGGAAACTCAATGTGAAAACGAATTAGTTTTTCAGTAAATTTATTTACTTATTTTAAATGTTAATGCCATATCTGCGTTCAGCAGTCTGGAAAATTAATTTAAAAATTCTCATTTCGGTAAATGGCTAAACATCTTTAAATCATTCCTTCACTTTCTAGGACTGAAGCAAATTGTTCAAGATCTGACGTCGTCAGTGTGGCAATACCCCTTCCTCCACCGCAGGCGTTTGATGATTTCGCTGATGTAGGCGCAGATCCAACCAGAGAAATTACTAGCGCTGAGTACGGTCCGTTCTTCCCACCGAGTTCAACCCTGAATAATTTGTTTTCGGATTCTGCAGATATCCAGGAGGACACAATTATCGGTTAGTATCCAAAAAAAATTAGGAGCAAAGTGGTCAAAAATATAAATCAATTTCATCGAAATCGGTTAGATCGACATGGAGTGATTAAACAAAATCAATCAATTTTATTGGAATTAGTTTTTGTACAATAGCTTTAAATGTAAACTAGATGGCCGTATCTCCGCCAAGATCTTTTCGTGGCTCTAAATTTTCTCTGCAGAGAAGATCCTTATGGAAATTAATCAATTTTTCATAGATTCCAATATGTTTATCAATAACTTAGAATTTATCCTTTCAAATTTTTCAAACATATTTTCGAAGGGTTAATTATTAATGAACTCTGATGTACAGACAGCATTAAAATTGCACAAAATATTACAGGAAACTCTATGAAATATCAAATGAAATCGTTGGAAATGTCTGAAATACGATGAAGTCTTCACACCAGAAGATTTGTGGAGAAATTAAAGATTTTCGTGAAATTTTTTAGAGGCACGAGTTTACAAATTCGTTGCGATGATTTATCTATATTACGGTCTACTTCCAAAAATTTATGATTGATTGAAGGAGCACGTGAAAATATCTAGCTCGTTAGAAATGTTAGAATTCCCCTACAATCTCTTAAAAGTATATGGATTTGCCGATAGTGCCTTTGAAATCTTGTTGACCTTCTAATGCTAATAAGCCACGAAACGCCACCAGCCGCACCAGAGAAAGAACCACGCGCTGTTAGGAAGAAACTGCGAAGGGGGCCAATCTTATTGTCATTAGAGGTTTGAATTCTGTGAAATCCTTCAAAATTCTTGAACAATTTGCAAAAATTTCATGAAATCTCTTAAAATGCTAAAAAAACGTCAGAATCATGGAAAGTCTGATAGTCCAAAAATTTGAAATCGTAATAAATTGAAATTCGATGAACAATTTTTTTTTGAGTGATTACTTACGTATATTGTAAAAATTTAAAGATATGCAAAATTTTGTTGGAAGATTCTTCATAAAGGAAATAGGCAGCTGCAAGAAAGGACTTGGTGCGAATTCGTGCATCTTCTTTAAATGCAAAGACATTCATCGAAGGCTAACTTCAACTTGAAATTAATTCGACTTATCTCTCTTCATCACTCCAATACTGAAATATTTCAGGGACTTCCAAAGTCTTCTGGGACGGTATAAATACTTAGATTCTTGTAGAAGTTACAACCCCCGCTGGAGTTTGTGGTCTTCGAAATCTTGGGAACACGTGCTTCATGGCTGCTGGACTACAGTGTCTAACTGCAACGCCTCCTGTTTTGATACACTTTCTGCAGATGCAGCAGGAAGATGAGAAATCACCTCCACCAGGATCTTTGATGGAGAACTTCAGCTCGCTGTTGAGCAAAATGTGGTCCGGGAGGTATAGTGTTGTGAGGCCGTTTGAGTTTAAACAAACTTTAGGAGCGTATCATTCACAATTCAAGGATTATAGACAGGTAAATTGGAATTATTGGAGTGCATGTGTCTGAAATTTATTCATTACGAAAAATTTTCAAGGTTTTCAGACTCAGAAGGAATTCTAATTTATTTTCATAAACTTCAAATTCATGAAAACTTTAAGTTTTATCCAGCCATAGAATTTGTCATTAGCTTCTAAAAAAAATTACAATCTTGTTATTTCTCATCTTTATTGGTAATTCAAAATGACAATTAAGTTGTTTATCTCTATATACTGACTAATTGATTATTGGGCGATTCCACGTCAAAACGATAGCCGAAAAAAATCGATGTCTCCGATTAGGTGCGTGTTTTTTTCTTGATTCTATATGATTAGATAAGGTTTCAGTTGAAATTTCACTCCAAAATGATTTTTTTTCATACGAGTTACGATTTTTTGAAAATTTTACGTTTTTTTCGCTTGTAAAAAACCAGCAGAGGACCGAGCCTATACGACAGAAAACATTTGACCCCAACTTTATACATTATTAGCCTTTGCTTTTTTTATTTCTACCAATTCCGTTGGTAGTACGCTTCCGAATGGATTCGCAGCAATTTTATTCTAAAAATTAAAAATAGCAATTTTACGTCAAATACGTAAAATATGCTAGCAATTCGTCAAAGATTTACACCTATTAGTCACGCTGTTAGCACTGCACCGCACAGGAATAATCGACATGATGATAAGTTTGAAATATCAAGGACAAATCTGAAAAAATTAACAGTGATCTAGATCGTATACTAGACAAAGGTCCCTGCGTTTTTTCATCCTCAGTATTACCCTTCATTATACAGGGTGTCCCATCTGAAAAGATGCGGCTAAATATCTCTCAAGGGGGGAGGGTAACCAAAAGATGTTTGATACAAAAATTGTAGGATTTCGAGGGGGACATCCGATGTAGTCATTATTTTGAGCTTTTAAGCTCACGCTTGTAAGCTGCAAGTACGAAGTGCTTTTTTTCAAATGGCAATCGCATTTTTCACCCCAATGAAACTTGTTCATCTTGATGAGTTATTTTTAGAAACCTCGTCATTCATTTAATTTCATCTCATTTTACTCGAAAAATGTCATAAAAAGAGTTTCCAGATAATTTTGTCCGTCGACAGTATCATTGAAGAAATATGGGCCTATCACTTGCCCATCAACCACACCGCACCACACGTTTACTTTCCAACGATGTTGATGATCAATGTGTTGCGTCCAGTGAGGATTCTCCCTTGACCAATAATGACAATTGTGTCGATTTAACGATCCAGTACTCTGGAACGTTGCCTCGTCGCTGAAGAGAACATACTGAAAAAAATGTGGATCTTCATTCAGTCTCTGCAAGGCCCAGTTACAAAAATCAACACGGTTTTGCCTGTCTTGTGCAGACAATGCTTGAGTCAACGTTATGTGATACGGGTGGTAGCGGCCAGATCGCAAAATTCTTTGTACTGTGCTCCGTGGTACTCCTAAATCCCGTACAATTTCTCTCAAACTGACGTGAGGATTCATGTGAATCATGACTAATATTGCAACAGCTCGGGGATCATCAGGATTAATACCTTGTACTTGTTGTTGTCGTCCTCGAAGGATTCTCCCTCTTCTACAACTCCTTTCGATCCTCCGGATAACTAAATCTGTAGGATAATGTAGTCGATTGCGGTACCGTTCTCGATATGTTCGAGCAGCGGCTCGATACACTCCCCCACACTCTCCCAAAACAAGTAAAATATCGACAATTTCACTGGCTGAATACATCGTGATGTGTTCAATGAAATAATAAGTGATACTAACTACCGACAACGGTGGCCGAAGTGGTTAAATCGCTCGGCCGGATGGCGGGACCCGTGAGGCGCGGGTTCGAGTCCGGCTTGGGGCAGGGATTTTTAATCCTTCGGAAACCTCCGAACGGGTAGTCTAGACACCGAGAATCATCGGAGAAATGGTAGAAAAACATTCCTCGATGATGCTCGGTCGATGGACGTCCGTGTCGACCAAGGTTTTCCATGGTTTCCCTTGGTCACCAGGAGAGTCTGTGCACGGCGTACAGCTCCTGGGGTACAATGTGACACGGTTGGAGAGGAAGTTGGCCCATGATAACCGCAAAATTAGGGAACTTGTAAAAACCCGAGTAGGGTATACATGGTAAATAATAAATAAAGTGATACTAACTTGATTCGGGTTGAATTGGCACCGATTAGAATAAAAGAATTCTCGAAGGAGTAGGGAAATGTTTTGTTTGTTGTTTACATTTGATAATTCCGGTGTGTAAACAGATCAATGGAACAATTACACCAAGATGCGCCAAGGATGTTTGAATTTTGAATTCGACCACAGAACTCGTTTTTGTGGCATTTTTCGAGTAAAATGAGATGAAATTAAATCAATGTCCAGGTTTCTGAAAACAACTCATCAAGATGAACTAGTTTCATTGGGGTAAAAAATGCGGTTGCCGTGTGAAAAAAAGCACTTTGTGCTTGCAGCTTGCAAGTGTGAGCTTGAAAGCTCAAAATAATGACATTGGATGTCCCCCTCGAAACCCTACAATTTTTGTATCAAACATTTTTTTGTTACCCACCCCCCTTGAGAGATATTTAGCCGCATCTTTTCAGATGGGACACCCTGTATATTCAAGCTCAAAATTGGCAAGTTTTCGAAAAATTTGCCATTGTACACAGTACACGACCCGGAGTTTCGCCATAAGAATTTCAAAATCTTGTTACTCATGATATTTTGGCCGGAAATTTTCATTGTTAGGGCTTTTAGACCCTTCAAAATGAGATGTCAAATTTTTTCACTTTTCTCCGACGCTTTACTGCAGTATCATTAAAAAAATTGAAAAAAGTGCGGCGCGGCACTCATAGCGCAACCAAGGGAGTGTTGAAATAGACCATACCCTGTTTCTATTACAGCTATGACATGTTTTACCAAAGATTGACATAATATGAAATAGAAAAGAACATACTTTCATTTTATATGACTTTTTATATCGTCCAGATTCGACAATCATTGATAATATTTTTAGGCCAATGGCTCTGAAATGACTGACAAAAAAGTTTAGATATAAATGACTCGATAATACTGGCTAGTAACCAAAATTTCAGATGTGCATTCCAACTTTTACGCATATTAAGAATGTCAAATTCACTTTCAGATGAAGAAGATGGTAAAATTGCAAATATCTTGAAAACTTAGTACCAATCATTATTCATATTTTGATCGATCTTGATAGGGAACAGCCCGACGAGTATTTTGAAAAAAAAAGAGAATGAAATTGGACTTGTAGTTGGAAAGATATTGAGCATAACAGTTTTTGCTTCCGAATGGAAGCCTACAAGGCTTTGACCGATTTTTCAATTTTCTAACTTTAATTGCAAATGGTTTAGAATGTTATGAAATGGGAAGAAATCATGCTTTTAGGGTCATGTTTGTATGTATATATGTATGTATGTATTTTTTTTTTTTTTATAGAGGTTTGGGAAAATCTTCAAAAGATTCTGGTAAAGTGATGTTAAAAACCAGATCTGGGATTTTTACCCAGTAAAAACCCTGTTTGCCTCTTTTTACCTGTAATCGTCCGTTCCCATTTCCCTCGCGGCACCATCGTGAAGTATTACTTCGCGAGGGGGGTTCTCAGCTGTTTACTCTTCCACTCTTTCCATCCAATGTATGTCCCCCTAACCTGCTAAGATGTTATGTGTGATTAGGAGGTTCCAAATAGATTTCTCACCTATACTGCAACCTTGCGCTTGCGTTCCTCGTTTCTGAGCTCCTTCATGACTTCCGCCGCGAAGTTGCTCGTTGCGTGTCAGGCTGTCTCTGATGACAGCATTGCTTCTACTACATTTTCGGGCGAGACTTTCCTTCCAAGTTCAGTCTCCCAAGTATCCCGGATGTCACTGAAACGGGGGCATGTGAAGAATACGTGCTCCGCGTTCTCGTCCACTTCTGTGCAGGTGGGACACGTCGGGGAATTCATGTTTTAATTTATGAAGATATGCCCGGAAGTACCCGTGTTCTGAAAGCATTTGAGAAAGATAATAGTTTATCTCTCCATGACTTACCCAGACAGCCACATGCGGGATCAGACGATGAGTCCATCTCCCCTTGGTCGAATCTGTCCACTTCTGCTGCCATCGGCTCAAGCTCTTTTGTCTCTCTTGGATTTTCAGTTCTTCGGGACTCAGCGCTTCTGATCTCTTCCGCTGGTACAGAGATCTTCGCTCCTCAGCTAATATCTCTATCAGTAACATTCCTAAGATGACGCACACTGCGTCCTCAGATACCGTCCGATACGCACTCGCAACTCTGAGAGCACTCAGCCGATGGACAGGTGCAATTTTACGGCGAGCTTGCAGCTGGAGTACGTCAGCCCAAATGGAAATACCATATGTAAGCACTGACGTAACCACTGACGACAGCAGCGCTCGTCTCCGTTGTTTAGGACCTCCGATGTTGAGCATGAGGCGTGCTAAGGTGGATCTGACTGCAGATGCCTTGGTACCCACGTGCTCTGCTTGCTGCTTGAAGTTGAGTCGGGCATCGATCGTCACCCCCAGGTATCGGATGAATGGCTGGGAGGTAATTTCACAAGACCCGACCTGCAGCGTGANTCCACTTCTGCTGCCATCGGCTCAAGCTCTTTCGTCTCTCTTGGATTTTCAGTTCTTCGGGACTCAGCGCTTCTGATCTCTTCCGCTGGTACAGAGATCTTCGCTCCTCAGCTAATATCTCTATCAGTAACATTCCTAAGATGACGCACACTGCGTCCTCAGATACCGTCCGATACGCACTCGCAACTCTGAGAGCACTCAGCCGATGGACAGGTGCAATTTTACGGCGAGCTTGCAGCTGGAGTACGTCAGCCCAAATGGAAATACCATATGTAAGCACTGACGTAACCACTGACGACAGCAGCGCTCGTCTCCGTTGTTTAGGACCTCCGATGTTGAGCATGAGGCGTGCTAAGGTGGATCTGACTGCAGATGCCTTGGTACCCACGTGCTCTGCTTG